CCAGAAGACTCGCTTCTCTGGACTCAACACTTCCAAGTTGATGTGTGTCTACCGGAAGACTTGCATATCCAGACTCAACACATCCTGGTTTATTGGTATCTTGATCAGAGACACCAACCCAATCATGAGTTGCATCGGCAACCTTATGTACCATCTCCCTTCTAGGAACGGCGTCCACCCACGGGGCTTCAAAACGTAGCATGCTTCTTGCTTGGTCAGATCCAGCTTTCTCAACCATCCGAGCGATAGACCCATACTCAATCACTGGCTCTGACACTTCTGCGGATCCAGCGTCTTCAAGAGTAGCCGGTGACAAAATCTCGGTCCCTTCCGCCACCATCACTTGGTCATCCTTGTCATCTGGCCCTCCCATTGAGTCGGGTGTTGTCCGGTCGTTGTCCCCGATATTCAACGACCGATGAAGTTTCCCTGCCTTCCTCCAGACTTGTTCTTCTTCATGGGACAGTCCCTGCTCCAGTGTCCTGCGTTGACCCTGCGGCAGCAGTAGCACCCTTTGTTATCTCGAAGGTACTTCTTCTCTTCTGGAGTCAAAGGCTTCCTCTGAACGTAGCTTGTCCCAATTTCCATCGGCTCAGGTCCTCCAAACGTCTTCGGTTGAAAGGTCCGCGGTCCACCAACGTTCGATCCACCATGTGATGAATTGCCTTTGAACCAACTTGGCTTTCCACCCGCGCCTTGGCCAGAGACTCGAGTAAGCACATTGTCAGCTCGGTCGGCATATCTTGCAGCTTCTTCAAACATTGTTGGCTCTTTCAACTCCACTTGCATCCGGACATTCACATTCAAGGCCCGAAGGAACTTGACCAGCTTTTCTGCCTCCGAGAGATCGTCGATCCGAATACACACTTGCCAGAACTTATGCAAAAAGTCCGACACAGGCTCCTTCTCCCTTTGCCAGAGGGCATATAACTCATCCCTCGCCCAGCGAATCAGATTGTCCATTCGGAATTGTCGACGCAGATCCCTCTTGAACTCGTCCCAATCGTTCACTCGATTGCCACTTTCGCACAACTCACGCCACCACATGGCAGCATGACCCCTCAACAGCAATGCAACATATCCAACATGAGAGGCGACAGGTATTCCAGTCAACGACATGTGCTCCTGTACTTGGAACAACCATGTGTCAACATCACGATGCTTGGCACCGTCATAGGTCTCAGGCTTCTCCACTTTCACGCCCATTGGTGCCACTCCACGACCGGAAATCAACTCGGCAGTCAACTCGGCCATATCCCGAGCTAGAGCACAAGATCGACGGTCACCTCGATACCCGGCAGCCTGCCTCTCCTCATGCAGCATGGCCATCTCCCGCTCCAATTGTTGATTCCGTTCGCGGGTCTGGTTGACCTCCCGCTTCAACTTCTGGTAACGCTCCTCCGCCTGACGAGCTTCCTCCTCCCCCATCACGACTGGTTGGCCATCATGGTGCGCCATAGAGATGGGTAGATTGCCCCTTCAGTGCTCTTGGTCGCTCGGCTCCGAAACCACTGTAGAATCCCCCAGGATAATGGCGACCAGATCGAGACAGAATGGTGGCAGTCGGCAATGTATTACAGCGGTGGTGGGCCCCCTGGTCCAGACTAGGTCAAGTGCACTGGCGAACTGAGACAAATGGCCTATGGGGTACCCACTTTTATAGGTGGCGCGCTCCCCCTCTCGTCATGACACCCTCGGCCTCCTGTAATGTCCAATACACTCATGTCATGCCACCCTCGGCCTCTTGTAAGATCACCTCGGCACTTGGAGAGCCACTCACATGATCCCTTGCCCCCTTGGCATGTCTCTAGTAATGTCAGGCGGCTTCCCCAAGCTATACCACGTACCTCCAATGTACCATGGCCGTAGGGGCACTTGTACCTATTATCCGATGTAATCCGGGTATCTGACAGTTGCCCGTACTGCCGGATCAACCCCATAATCCCTTGGAGTGTACTCCACCACTTCCTGGCGGCTCCCATCCGCCTATGACCGTGCACTACATCATAATAGGCTATAATGTTCATCACCACACCGGTTCCATCAAGGAATAATGCCCCAAATGGCCAGAAATGGGCTAAATGGCTTAAATTGCTTTAATTACCTCATTATACCGAAAATTGGCCCATTTAACAAGATGAACGTGGCGATCATGATTAACACATTTCTAGACTCAGATGAACACATCTAACTCATCTAAGTCATCTAATTACCCGTCAATGTACAGTAGGGTGTCTAGTCACTACACAGATGCCATCACACATGTGCATATAGTGGTTTAATTGCAATGAGTAAAGCATGCTTTTCTAGAGCCGATGTAGCTCTGGAGCCAAAATACTACATATTCTCATGTGCAACATGCAAAGAGTAGGCCATATGTGTTGCGTATATGCATGTGCCTATTATGAAATTATCTGATCGAGTTGAATTTTTATGGCGAGCATACTAAGGGAAGACACTATTTTGATTTTGGTACGCTTAACACTGAATTGATATTAAAGGGTGGGGCGGGGGTCAAACCATTGGTGCTAAAAGGTTATGTTATTGCACTAAAATCAAAATAAACTAGTAAGATATAGAAAAGCGCCATTTATTAGTGGCGAATAGCTTATAACTTATTGCAAAATGTCCCTCGAATATTGAATCATCTAGGTAGTCCTTAGAATGAATTAATTTTCAGGCTTTTGGGCTGCTCTCATTGCCCATCATTATTGTTGGCATCTCAATTTGCACATCACCACAGTCACTGCAATTTTGACTAGTTTTCCCTTAAAATATTTTTCGAAGTTGCATGGCATTGTAAGGCAATATTGGTGAGTCATGCTGGCATCGAAATAAGAATTGATACTAAGAGGGGGGGAGGGGGGCAAAGGCTCTGAGCATAATGATACAACAACCTTAGTGGTATGGGGCGCATGCCCTCTTTAATCTGCGGACCCGCCTCGCCGGGCACTTAGGTCCTTACAGGGACGTAGGCGGACCACCCCGGCCTACTCCCGTATCATATCGTATAATAGAACAAGGTCCGGTTGGTTTGGTGTTACCGTATCTTGGGCAGGGCGTCCCCCACACCAAGAGACCATTAGTAGGGCGTCCCCCACATCAGGCCGACGTGCATAACACTTATTAAGTGTTAACATTAATAATGTTAGTTTAACGTGAAGTGCACCAAAATCAAGATAATGTCTTCCCTAACAAAGTGGTTTGCATGTTGCTTTTGGATGATTTAGCCATCCATCTATGGCTTTCATAAAGCCAACGAAAATATCGCAATGCGTTTCATATGTTGTAATGTTGCACTGCCAATGAAGAGTGCATGCTTTTTGTAATAGAGCACCGGCTAATTGGTTTCCCAATTGAGACCGAGGAACAAGTTCCTTTGGCACATGTTGAGAAGCTGTTACGCGCACCGGCCTGATGTGGGGGACGCCCTACTAATGGTCCTTGGTGTGGGGGACGCCCTGCCCAAGATCGTATTGTATTCCTTGTCCCACGGTAACCATTATACTTATATGGATATGGGGAGTAGAGGGTGGTCCCGCCGGAAACTCGTGGTGACCTTAGGTGTCTCAGGTGGGTCCGCGGCTCAAAGAGGGCAGGAACCCCACACCCACAGACTTTTCGTATCAGAAGCTATTTGGATGCCAAAAGTTTTGGCCCAAAACGAGTCATAAAAAATTGGATCATGAAGCATATTTATATATTTTTTTATGATTGGCTCCAGAATTTCATCTTTGAATTCATAGACAATTTCGTCTCCTGAATCCACCATCACCATTGATTTCTTCCATCCCCAATTATGTTCATAATCTGCTATGTATGCCTTCCATTTATGATTTAATTATTTATTGATAATTTATATATTTGTCCTTGTCCATGCGAGATGACGTGCCGCCCAAATCTTTCTTATTTTATTTTTGTTATTTGTTGTTTAATGCATTCAATCTTTTAATCCAGCCCTTTGCGCTTCTCACTCAACAATTTAGGCGCTTTTACAAACACTCACGTAGTAGGGTGAGGGCAAACACACGTCAACTTGAGGGCTTGGCAATTGCCTATGCTCGAAAATTTTCAATTAAATGAGCTCTAATTTAGTGCAATTTAAAGAATTTTGGATTTCAAACTACTTTAAAGACTTAGCACTTTGAAGTGAACAAAAAATTACAATTGACGAAGGCTCCTTAAGTCAACATGCTTCCAAAGTTTCTGATAAGTGTTTTGGGAATTGTTTGGAATAACATTCATTTCACAACCTAAGCAGCCTTTCGTGCAAAATGTCGTTAGTGAGCCCATAACACAATTAGTGTGCAACATCTTGATTTTTAAGCAAATTGTAAAGACTATTGTGCTCAATATGTGCAATCGACCCATAGTGCAATAGACATGTTCAAGATCAAAGAAAAACATGTTTTGAAGTTGCGCAACATTACCATTTCTACACTTGTGTAATATCCACTAACGACATTTTGCACGAATGACTAGGCTAGTCATACTTTGTAATTGTTTATTGTTGTTGAAGGAAAACTGGTTCCTTGCTGGAAGCACTTGCTTCCACGTCACGACCACGGTGGTCGACCATAACATAACAATTAAAATTATGCCACTATGTTTAGTGGCACAAGGCCCACACATCACAATCACAACCACATCACAACCACAATCACAAACTCAATACAATATTCTAAAATAAAAAAATCACTAGAAGTGGCCAAAGCACCTTTTTCCTCTCAACAGAGACGGTGCAAGCCAATGGCGCTTCAAATCCCGAAACTTCGAAATCAAAACTTCAATTTCAATCCCAAATCAATCTCAATTTCGAATTCAACGACCCAATTCGAAGTCCCCCATGCCCATGATTTTCGGCGCCATCTGCCAGAATTGCGGCTGCATGACCCACCCAGCCCACCCCTGGCACACGCGGTCGGTCACGCCCCCAGGCCGGCCACGTCACGGCACTCGGCGCGCACCCGCCGGCCCGCCGGCACCGCCCTCGCGCGCACATGGCGGACCCTTCCACGAGCGGCGGCGACCGCGGCCATGGGGCCACCATATCGGAGGTCTGGTTGCAGCAGGTGGGCGGAAAACGGCAGACGCTGCTGTGCAGTGCACCTGTTGTCGAACCGAACGCCCGGCGGAAGAAGATTCTGGAATTTGTCGGTGGGTTGGAGGGGCAGGGGGCCATGGAACCGTGTGCGAATCGCGCTTGGGATGGAGAACTGGCGGGGTGCGAAACACGAAGAGGGGGGGGAACTCGTGGGATTCGAAATAGGATTGTTGCCGCGGAGGTTCTTGGGGGCGAGCTTTGTGGGCTCAGGGAGGAAGGGTAGGAAGGGAGTGGTGAAGGGAGGGGGAAATGGAGAGAGAGATGGGGAAACGTCCATTGAAATGGGAAGAAAATGTTTTCCTGCACATGGTGTTACGACAATAATGTGCATGTCACTGTCCTTGCTATACACGCAATACATCATCCACTAAAATGTACAATGGTCACGCCGCAGGCCGCAAAAACAAAATGATGGAAATGGGGATCCCCTTGATGCAAAGCTTTGCTAAATGTCATGTCCCAGGGGTGGTGCTCCCAGAGGGGAAGGGTACAGGGCACACTAACAAATCGATAACCAGAAAGCGGGACAGTGTCCTAAAAAGGCCTTGAGGGAAGGTGGGTAGGAATGGGAGGTTGTGATGTGCTGGTCGAAGGCAAGACCTGCCACTGAACCAGCCATGCCCAGCAGCTGCAGTTTTGTGTCTATGCTGGTAACGATCAGAAGCAATGATCCTGGACATCAACTTCGATGCTGGTAGCAAGGGCCAGAGCAAACTGGGAAGATGGGGCAGAATGAATGGTTGGATGCTTTGTGGTGATGGACACTGGGCTGAGCTGGGTTGGGGTTCCTCTTAAATCAGCAAATTTTCTGGCAGCTTGGACAGAGCTGGACGTTGTGGCTGGGATTGCAGTGAAACGCTGTGGCAAGGAAGATCGGTACGTTACACAAAGTGCACCCTCTCCAAAAGAGTGGATGGTGAATACTGTTTATTGCCTTCATAGACTTCTGCAAGATCTCTCAAGGCAGGTTAAAAGCACACAATATGGTGCCCATTTGCCCATCATCTGAATAAGTATTTTGCCCAAATCGTACAAATCTTGTCTTGCACCAGCAGGGCAGCAAGTACCTGTGACAGGTGTTTGTCGTGACGATCGATGAGCCTGGGAATTTTCGAGGCACAAATAGTGCGTGAGGAAGCCTGAGGCCTTGGGTATGTGGTCTGAGGGCGTGTGGATTTGGTGATATGCACTAACCTCCAATGCAATGCTAGGACAAGCAGCACACCTGGGGTTGACGTAGTTGAGGTTGGGATGCAACTGCAATGGGAATGGGATGGGTGGACGTGTTTTCTGACAAGATGCTCTGAATATTAAGGCAGGGATGGATTAGGATTGGTCAAGGAGGCAGAATAGCAGGCATCTCTGCCTTGAATGTTGCCCTTTTTGTGCTTGAGCTCTTTGTGCTAATGTAGCAATCCATGTTTGCCAGTCATGCTGCAGCCTAAACCCTCAACAATGCCAACATCTCGTGCAGTGAAGAAAGCAATAGAAGAATGTTCCTGGGAAGGGAATGCACATGGTTTGGCTTTGTGATGATGTCATAAGTGATGGAGGTTTGCCAGAAGTTGAAGGTGCATGGTTCTGTGGGAGCAGATGAATTGAATTTTAATCTATGTTGCCATGTGGCACGTTGACCTGAATGCAGGCATCCCAACTGTATTGTGTGATTGGGTAGTTGACATCTAGGTCAGGCACCATTCTGGCAAGGGACCATCAGTGACATGGCAGTGTGACAGCACGCAAATTTATCAAGGGATTCTTGATTCGAGGCCAAGAGATCTCTGCTTGCAGCATTTTGCTGGAAGCTCACAGCACCTGCATTGAACGTTGGTTTCTGAGTTTCTGAGGTGGTGTGAACTTCAGAGTACAGCAAGGATCAACACGGTTGGTTGCCGTTGCTGCTGTCCAGAATCAGATAGTATGTGATTCAGGGCAGGGGTTGATTGCACAACCTCAAGGAACATTCAGTCATCTTGCCAGCCATCCTGTTAGAGGGTTCCCCTGTTCATTCTGAATGAGAAGATGCTTCATGTGCTTGCGTTGGATTTCACAACTATGTTCAAATGCTTCCAAACAAACTGCGTGCGGACTTCCACCCATCATCGTTGGTCAGGTGCAAGGGCTAATGTTGATGGCAGCACACTGGTGCTTCACAGGCAACAGAGAACCAACATGATTATAACGAAGGCGTGTCATCGCCAGTTTCACTGCTGGACAATGGGTGGGACCAAAGTACTCCAGCTGCAAAGAGGAAAAAGAATGATGTGAAGAGCACTGTCAGCAACAAGAGGCAGTGCACAAATAAGAGGCCCCAGGTGGGAGCCCTGCCCCTCATGTTTTAGCAATATCGAGGTGATCTCATCTATCTGATTCTCTTGTGGAATTCAGGCTCCTGCATAGTATCTTTTTCCAGCTTTCGCATCCACGGTCTGTCATTAAAGAGACCCTGCACCAACTCGCCGCAGCAGAAAAGATATGGCTCATTTGTCACTTCACAAGATTGCGCAAAGCACAATGTGGGGAAAAAAGAAACATTTATGCCAATATGATGAATGCAAGACTCCCCAAATCAGGGGGGTTCATCCCTCTGAGGATCTGCGTGTCTGTTGATGTCTGCAGCTGAATTTTGTGCCGACTCAAATGGGTAGATAGGTGTACACAAGGCCAGTGCATGGCTTTGGAGTGACTTGAGCGGCGATATGGCAACATTGTTCCCATGCTGTTGATGCACACACTGCTGGATGTTGCCTAGCTGATGCAACGACTCTATTTTGCCTGAGAAGACAATAGTTATGGACTTGAGTTTCTGCTGTTGGACAAATTGCTTTGCATCATTCTCCATCAGCGTAAATGTTGATTCTGCTATGATGGGATCTTGTACACTTTGGCGGTTTGTGCAATGTCTTCTGGGAAAGGATACAATAGTCTCCAGCATCTGCTGCAAGTGCTAGTGGGTGGAATACTGTGAGTGCGAGGCTGAAACCTGCATAGTATTGTTGCACGAGCTGTTCTCAACCATTTGAGTCCCCACTTTCCTCTCCACAAAGAGATACTACTCTGCTATTGGAAAGAGCAAATGCAGATGTCAAAGCATATGCAAGACTTGCTCGGGAAGTTACATTGTTAGTGCTGTACTTGCAGATCCAGACCAACGATTCTGTGTCATATTGTTGCACACAATTCAAATATGGGATGTCGATGCGATGGAGCGCTGTTTGGCAAAATCAGTGCCAGTGGACTGAATTCTGAACTGCAAGTGCTGCCAATAGCAGGCAACAATGTGACTGAAAGATAGGCACAAATGCACAGTGCTTAAGGATGGCAAAGTTCAGGAATAGTTCAACAAATGTGTGACTTTGGACATGCAGAGTTTCAAGGCACTCGACAAGGTTCAGCAAATATTAACTGAAGAGGGGGGTATACTATGAGACTGTGGCAGACCCGAGTGAAATATGTGACAAATTGCTGCCCTGCACTTTCAAGGCAGCCAGGGTCATAAGTTTCCAAACACAGTGTCACAGATCGTAGGTCCATTGCCTCCATCTTGAAACCAGAATCCAAAACAAGTGCCTTTTGACAAAAACATGGTTTTGTTTCCCTACAAGTTGTTGAAGCCATGAAAATTGAACACCATGGAAGCTGCTGAAACACCATGTACATCGTGTACAGAACCAATCAACTGACGCCTCACTTTCCTGTAGAATTTCACAGTTTGATGTCTGAATATAGGCACTTCTCCCATCTGTTCAGTGCAATTTATTAACAGGCCTGCTGAAGAATTCACCAGCTGATTCTTGGAGGGAATGCATTGAGCACTTTCCCTGCTGTTTGTGTGTGTTGCCAAAGAGTAGCAAGTGGAAATGAATGAAAGTTTGGATGAACAGGGAGAAATGAGCGTCTAGGATGTGTGTATGTCCCTTTTGTTATATGCGTGGGGCATTGACTCCATTTTCTCTTGCAAAGGCAAATGTAGATGGAGCAATGGAGCTTCTTGCAGGGAATGTGTTTGTGGATAGGGCCATTGTTATGTCTGTTAACATTTTGCGTGTTTCACAATACATGGCCATATTCTCCAAAAATGAACAAATATATCAGCTCATGCCTGTACGAGGGCACATATGGAAATATGCTTTGCTCGTGTTGTTGAAATGCCAGCTGTGGATGAAACAAACGGGCCAAGGTTTGTGGAGGTAAATTTGGCCTATATTGACAGTGAGTTCCTTATGTTCCTTATGGGCAACCCTTATACTCCAAGTGTTTTTTACCTTGGAATAGTGAACCTATGGTGGTCCTGCAGCAAAGCGATGGGAACCTGCAACATCCCCAGCCAAGGAAGCAATATCACTTTCTGAACAGCTTCTACAAATGCCAAAGTACATGCACGTAGCGTACTGTCATTTCAGCAGGAGATGGTCTGCTGAATCCCTGTATTAAGGAAACCCTGATTTGCTGCTATTCCTGCCACAATTGACGGCCGATGCTTGTTGCACACATGTTGCAGGAAGCTGGCCGCTCCTTTATCAGTTCCGCGGCAAACTTTCTCATCAACTCTGGCACTCGCATGTCAAAGATGTTTCAGGGTGCCCCAAGAAGTGTTGGCTGCAGCCAATCTTCCCCTGAGGATTTGACAGGCGAAGATGTTGGGGCTGACAGGCCAAGCACATCTGCAGAGGCCTTGGATGAGTTTATAGCGGCGAGGAAGCAGGAAGAGAAGGCAAGGAAGCTGAGTCGATGCCGGTTTGGTGCAGACAGGGGGAAGAGGCCATCAGGTGCAGCTGAGGAAAAGTTTCCTTCTTTGCTTCTTTTGTTTGGTTTCCTTTTGTTTCTTCCTTTCTGTGGCGCATGAATTGAGGCTATGCGCTGCATCATTCACCTGTCAGTATACCAAACAGGACAATTTTTGGGGGGGGGTTGGAAGGGGGGGGGACTTTTTTCGTTTCCAGTTTGCTGACTTTGAAAGTTGATGGCCTGCATGGGTACCAAAGAACTCTAAGGATAGTGCCCCTTGCCCCCCACATGCTATCATATTGATGGGCAAGAACACCAGCATCCAGCCAAGCTCACACAACAAATACCAATCTAAAATACGTTGCCAGTCACAGCAAAAGTTTGGGGATGTGCAAAAACGTTCCTGCGACTGCTGTGCTGCGCCCTGTGATCATGATTGAAAGTATTGTCCCATGGGAGCGGCGACAGCACGATGAGAAGTGGGGAGGGAATTGGGGAGGCCGCCCCAAAGAAGTCAAAGAAATTGGTCGCCCACAACCGCTCTTTCATATTAGGGGAATAGACTTTTGGGGCGGCGAGGGAAGAGGACACACTATGCCCTGGGCTTCAAAATGCAAGTGGCAAGCTGCATAAGAACCAAAGTCCTAGGAGCTCAGGGTCAAGGTGGAATAGTCGGCTTATCTTACGCTGCACTGTAGACATCAAGTGCCAAAGTGGTTGTGAAGGAGGAACACTGTGAAATGTTCTGATGGACTTGGTAACACTGGGGGGACATCACATGTCCTGAGATGTAAGTTTGTTGTGAGGACTTTGTAGTATGCTCCTCAAGATAATGAAGCAAATGCCCCCCCTTCCCCCGTGGGCATATCTGGTATGGCCCCCATGTCCTGCAACACCAGTGTTGTTCAGTGGCGTTGGGGTGCTATCTAAGACCCTATGCGCTATTCAACACCCCCCTGTGCTATCCTCCGTGTTCTGCAGTACTTTGGTTGGATCCACCACAACAAAACAAACCACCACATCTGCACCTTGCAACCCATGAAGGCTTAATGGCCTTTGTGCAAGCTTTTTCTAAGTCCCTTTTCTGTGCACTAGGCCTGTCTTTATCAGATTTGTGACAATGCAACAAACAGAGCAGTGTCTCAGTGCCATACGGACAATGGAACACAACAATTTTTGAATGAATAGCACAGTCCTCAACACTGATGGACACCTGCCTCGTTCGAATTGTCACTGTTATCTCATGCACTGAATGCAACTGTGGCCTTTGGCCGCGACCTCAATGTCAAGCAAACTATATGATTATGCTTGCCCAGTAATAGCATTGACGGGTCTACCTGTCTGGGTCAATTCATTTGAAATAGGAGCTGAAAAGGCACCCAATGGAACCTGTCCTGGTGCATTTGTAACACTATTTGTCCTTATCTGTAACCAGTGATTTAGAAATCTCTGCATCCAGACAGGATATGTGCACAGGATATGGCAACATAAATAGCAAAGTACCCACCACTCTCTGGAGGGTGCCTGGGGTGCTTGGGTCACTGCCTGTTCCTTGAAGGAGGAATGTGTTGGATATGATGCTGCAATTTCTTCAGGAACAGTGTAAACATGTGAATGTCAGTGCAAATGGAATGTTTCAGTGACAAGGGCACCCAGGCACATGTGGAGGATGTTTCTGCCATCAATACCCCATCATATCATATCGCCTCATATCATCGCAACAGCCCAGAATCAGCATGAATGCAGGCAGTGGATCAATTGAGAAGAATTGTGTAGCACTTTGCTTGTCAAGGTAATAAATTTGCACTCTGCTTTGTCCAACACATGGTTCATGTTTCGTGCCTGTGCACAGAGACAAGTTTATCCTGAACTGTGCGCACAACGATGGTTGCTTACCCCATCCCCTGTGAGAGTGTAGAACTTGAAATCTAGTTGAGTTGGAAGCAGATTACAGCATTTCTGGATATCGGGCATGATGTTGTTCCATTCCTGTTGTGGTAACCCATTTTGCCATCGCCTTGGAATGCATAAGGCATTGTGTTGTCACATGTTGACACAAGCAATCGACTGGACCGGAATGTGTACTTGTCTCCGGGAGGCAGTTATACAGATGGTGGGGAACACTCTGGTGCGGTGGTGCCCAGAAGCCCCTGCAAGTCACAATTGTACTCTTGTGGCAGGTTCTTGGGGATTTGCCACAAGGAATTCAGTTTGACCTGCATCTCCACTTGCCACTGTGGTTTGGGCACTGTCCTTGTTCGCCATTGCCACCTTTTAAGGGTCACTTATTTCGAATCTTTTAGTTGTTGATTGTCACTATTTGTTGTCATCTTCACTATCGTTATAAGTACATATTTTGTAGATGATTTTGTTTCCATTGTTGAGTGCGATTTGTGATTCATTGGCCAGTGTAGGCACCACTGATTAAAATCATTTTGAACTCTACAGGGAAATTACTGGGGGCCAGCCAACGGCCTTGGATGAGGTGGGTTCATTGAGCAAATGCAATGGGGTTGCACAGTGTTTCTTTTGTGTTGATGCTTGGTCAACTTGTTCACTTGAAATATGATTAAATGTGCTTGGTTGGTGACAGCCATGCTTCCAGAAGCAGTATAGCACATGGTAGTGAACAAAGTTGAGTGGCATCACTACCCGTTGGCAAATCGGCAGCACCTAGTGCAATGGTAGCGGATTTTCACATTTGGCCAATTGCACATTCCTGGATTTCATTGTTGCCCATAAATGTTTGCCTGATGCAGAAAATTATGTTGCAGCACAGCACAGCTGCCAAGCATTTGAGTGCCGCCCGACTGCCATGTGCACAGTGTTGCTGAAAATTGCAGGCATCGCCGACACAGGTGCAAGGGGCCCATGGTGTCTTCAAAGCCAAATTTTGACAAGATTACCTAGCTGCCGAAAAGCTGCTTGGATGGTTTGGACTTTCCCGATTTAGATGGGTGCTGTGGTGTGGGGTTATAAAATTTGACAGCAGGTGTCTCCTGGTCCAGGTTCCCAGAAGATCGGCCTCGGCAGGGTCCAATAGCATATGTGAGTGCTGGCTGGACGAGCTTTTGCTTCACACTTGGCACTGTGACAGATAGTGCAACTTATATCCACTAAACGGTGAATCTAGTTGTCTGAACGACTGCGATGGGCTTCAGTAAGAGCTGAAGAGCGGCGCCATCCAGAAGACACTGCTGTTGCACTTCTGCCTTCTCCTGTGGTGTCCAAGGACCCAAGCATCGACATCAGGCTTAACGGGCAATGATTTGACATGTTTGGGCGAGCTGCCAAGCAGAAATGCTTCATCTGCTTGGGAATCAACTGCCATTCTGTGACTTGGCCCATGTCTGGTCATCGATGGACCATGAACTTGAACTGTTACTAAGTCAACTTACCAGAACATGGCAAGTCACCCACAATGCGAACGTAGGGCGGTTTCGATGACTGCAGATTCTGTCTGGGTTATGCTTTGTCAAGGACAGCATACATTGTCAGATGTTGCATGTATCAGTGTGAGTGAACGTCCACATCATAAGCAACCCCATGGGCTGCCAGGGAATGAAGATGAAGTACCACATCTGCACTCTGCATTTCAGTGCAGTTCCCTTGCACGCTTTGCTTTCATCAGTTGGTCAGCAATTGGGATTGTAGCCCTGCAAGCGAATGTGGGCATTTGACCCTCTTCACACCGGTGCAATGAGGGTGAAAGATTGCTTACCGTATTTTATCAAACTCTTCCATATAGTAACATAACGCTTGGCCTTTGTTGTGGAGCAACATTAAATAGAATTTTGGTGGAGCAACAGTGGAACACTAAACAACGCTTTGAAAAGAAAATGCTGAGCGTAAAGTGTAACAGTAGAATTGCAAAATGCAGAAGGGTTGCATATTATATGACAGTTTCTTTTGTCTGTTCACCCACCCATTCTTCCATCTCATGCTTTCCATTTATTTTCCCAATTTTTCAGCTCATTTGACTATTTGAGCTCAGCAGAGGCACGTGACATGACCAATGTGTCGAGTTTTTCACGTTGTCTGTGAGGATTGTCAGCATTCATTTCATTTGACTCTGGTCGATGGTCGCAGACTCTCGTGGGGACAGCTGTGGGCAAAAGTCCAGACCCTCCAAGAGCCGACTCGGAGTTTTGCCGGATGCTTGTGAGTGACGGCAGTGCAGGATCGCAGGCAGCATCCATGAAGTCCAAGAAAGCAAGGGAGAGCGAACATTCTCCTTGGAAGTGCTGCAACAAGGACCAGGTGCAGGAACAGGCCCTTCTGTCAGCACCATTTTGGTCATTTAGTGGACTACACAATACCATATTGTGCAATACACTGTATGCTGTGATGTATTCAACCTTCTGCATAACATAAAGCTTGGCCTATTTTGCGGAGAAAAATCAACAACATGATTGTGGAGCAACGTAAAAAAAAACAAACAACGCCTTGAAAAGAAAAATACAGAACAAAAAAGGTAAAATTTTTTGATGCGGAAGGGTCGAATATACTATGGTATATGTCATGTGTCTCCTTGGTTCATGCTTGAGGATTTCTATTCCGTGCACCATCCAAAAGAAACAGAGGTGTGCCCGCTGACTGCTGCCTAGGGCGATGCTGGGCACCATTGAGTGGAACCTGTGTCCTGGTGCCAGCACAGCAAGGTCGAATGCAGTGAGGTTTAGGACGAGTGATGCATGAGCCTTGTAATTGTGCAAAACTGCGCTGGGCTGTTGTTGGGTTCGGTGTTGAAGTACTGTGTTGCTGAGCACATTGAAAATGTGTTATTCTGTGGCATTATCGTGGCACCGGTTCCTCTGTTGACGGGCTGTTGCCAACATGGGCTCAAAACCTGCGAAAGGATCGATGTTAAAACTGGTTGAAACTAAACTCCTATTGGATGTTTTTGCTTTTAGTTTTCTGATTTATTATTGGAACTAAGTTTGAGGCTATGCGTGGGCTTAGGAAAAAGCAATCAAGTGCTGTAAGGCACAGCTGAGGCAGTGGTTTGTATATTGGGACCCGTGTGTTGCCATGGCATACCTGAAGTATGGCCATCAGTACTTCGAAGTGGCAATATGTCAACATGCATAGGCACAGCCATGGTTGTTGGACTCGATTCTGCGCAGTGTGTGTCTACACCTGATGAGCTGGGCTGGTTTCACTTTACTTATATTAATCTGCGTACTGCGACGCTGTTGCTGTATTAGTAAAACAGATGTGACAATGTCATGTCTGTTTACTCTTCACACTTGTCAGGTGTTGTCGGACAGTGGTCTTAAAAGAAAGAAAAATGTGGTGGCAGCAGAACGTCGTCCCCAAACCCCAATGAACCAGGTCCCAAGAAACTGCAGGATCCAGCAACTGGGTCCAAAAAATGTGCAAAGAGACTGTCCAATCTCTCGTTCCAGATATTTTGCTTCACATTCAAGGATGAGGGCAGATAATTCACCTTATTGTTCAGCACTTGCAGTCAAGTCTGCTGATGATGCCAAGAGAAAGCATAGGAATAGGCACAACTCTTGTTTGCACATTTCAAATGGATGCGAATGGATGATCATGCCTGGACACAAGTTGAGCTTTCGAATCTTGTCACAACCTGACCAAACATCGACCTTGCCATTCAAGACAGCGATGGATACTTGCATATCACTTCATTTGGTTCCCAGGAGCCATGCACAATGCTGCCAACACCCATCAGTTGCAAAGGCAATGGATTGCCACAATTTGACAATTTTGACGATCTGGTTAATGCCTATCGACAGCGAGTGTTTTGTTTTGCATGGCTCCAGCCAATGTCAGCTGCATGGACAGTGAACTGGGTGCTGACGGATGCATATGCCAGGTTGCTCGACAGATGTTTGTGGTTTCTTTAGTTGCAAAATATGACAATTCGGAATAAGAAGAGCAGAAAACCACTCGTGGAAATCAGCACTGATTGCTTTTGTCAATAGATGTAATGGAGCATCGCCATTTGCAGCTGGTAGGCATTGTCTTGGTTGTGAAATTGGAGTTGTATGAAGCCTTTGCTGGCAACACTTCATCTGGCTGTGATAGCAAGCCTATGGACATGTGCGTGGGAGCACCAAAAGGCAGGATGCTGGGCAGAATCTGTTCATCGGATGCGCTGCGAATGCTGTGTGTGCAAGCTGCATGATAACAGGCACCAACGGCCTGCATACCTTGACTAGTCATTTATTGTGTACAAATGACATATCCATGCATACGTTGGTTGCCAATAGATGACAACTGCAATTGTTGCTGACTCGCTGGTGTCAATCTCCCCAGAATTCCACAGTAAAACCATCCTCAAAGGTCTTTGGGACACAAAGGAGTCAGGCTCCCTGGCGGAGCCCGGCTTCACGAAAGCAGGCAGACCTCATTGTGATCGACGACGATGAAGATGACATGGAAGGGTCCCCAAGCAACAAAGGTGCCAGGGAGACACATGATTTGTGGAAGGGGGTGGAGCATTTGCGCTATAACACACGCAACTCTGAGCAGAAGGCCAACAGGTCAAGACTGCTGAAGGTTGGTGTGGCCGCCTGCGTGTAACTATTGGAAGGTTGGTGCAGCGATGCTCCTTTATTGATGAGCTGATGTTCCGCCTTGGTATTGCATTCATGTGTGCTGTCCAATTGCTGTATTTGCACCATTGGTTTCTCTGATTTGCAGTTATATCTGTCTGTGATTTGTTGTATTCACTGCGGTCTTGTACTCTTTAGGGCCACAAATGTAAGACGGTGTCCCTCAAGTACGGACGGAAATTTCCTTAGTGCCCTTGGCACATGAGTTTTGTCCAAAGGCAGAGGTGTAGCAACTTCTGCCAGGATATGCACCAGGGTGAAATGAGCACAGGATGAAAAGCCACACAAGACACCAATGAGGACGATCATTGCACGTTGAACATTCATCGGCCCCACCCAGAGCTGAAAAGATTTCTCATGTGATTGCAAATATGGCAGTGTGTTAAAACACACACAGGGCCTTGAAACTTGATGTGAGATTTGTTGCAACACAATGTGAGTACATTCATTCCAAACTTCAGTTAGAAAGTTTTCAGAAGCTCCGCTAAGTATGGGATGTTGCAAGGATGTGAGATATTGACTATGTGCTGGACAGCTTCTGTGACAATGTAAAAAGTGTGGGTGATATCAGTTCTTTTTAGCTCATATGAGGAGATGGGGCTTGTTCTATGGCATTTCTTGCGAATGTGCTTTAAATACATGTACTACTGGATGTGTCCTCTCGGATCTGCACAATTGCACTTTCAATCACCTTGGAATTTGCATGGGGTCCACTCAGTATATGAATTGGCAACCATGAGCACATCAGGATTCTCTCCATATACGGCCTGAGTGCTGCACTGCAATGCAGTGGTGAATTTCATTGTGGCTTGCATGGAGGCAGGAGTTTCTGTGGAACTCCATATTTCCTGGTGTCAAAAGGGATGGACGTTCATTTCGCAGTTGAAATGGCAGGCGCCAGGACCCGCTTCAAGCACAACTGTTGCGCACCAAGCACTTGCTGCACTCCAAACTTGTGCACTGCATGTGGGCGGGTAAATATGCAGCATGTGCTGCATTTGGTAGACATATTGGCAAAGTCAATAATCACATGCCCCTGAAAAGGAGGCATGTTATGGGTTTGCCCCCACTGTATTACCACTCTGTTGGATTGACACAGGATGGTTTTCAGCCGAGACATGACTGCAGTATATTGTACTACTCACATTCACATTCACTGTTACTTATTTACTTTTATTTGTTCGCATTCACATTTATTTCACACTATTCTGTGTTTGAGAGCTACTGCTGTGCTTGTGTCTGCTCTGATTTGTTGCTTTCAACAAAGCACTGCTCTGGTGCCTTCAAGCGACTGCCCGCCATGTTTCCATCCACAGTTCCATGCATACATGACACTTGTGCCAATCTTGGTAGAAATTCTCTTGGTTGCATTTGCCTTCACAGCTGCAAGCACAGTTATCTGAACATTCACTTAAGAGCTCCTGTGCTGCCTTGTTCTGCTTTCATGTTGTTATTCAGCTGGCAGAAGGCATTGTGATCCAAGCACAGGCACTTCAATTGCGATTGTTGAAAGCTTGTGATGTAAAGTTGATCAAACACTGTCAAGGTGATGCCGGCTGTCATGTAATTCACATCATTGACTGTTCTTGAAAATTTTCTGCGTTTCTTTGTTCATGGGTGGCCCTCAATCTCAAACCACCATAATTTCACACATGTTCAATCTGCAGTTCTTGATTATTCAGTGTACTCTTTGCAATTGTTGATTTCATCGCTGTTGAATGGGATGCAGGATGTGAAAGCAGTGTACCCGCCAGAAGGAGGCTTCGGTGCTGTGGAAATAACAATGGAGGACCTGAAGAGGCTGGAGCCCTCTGAATTCCTTAACGACACAATTATTGATTATTACACCAAGTGGGTTCCAGTGTGACAGTGAAGTGCTTACTAAACGCAAATGTACATAAATCGTGCAGAAGTGATTCACAATTAAGTAGGACACTGGGCGGCTTTTAAAGAGAAGGGAATGCCCAACGTGTGACATGATTTCCTTTCTTGCTGCGAATCGTCCCATGCAAAGTGGACCATGCATCGACACTGCATGAGCATGGCTGCATCTGCAGGCTGTGTGGCTCATTGACAGCTGTCTTTAAGTTTAGGATATGCCAGCTACCAAAGAGCTTGACAATTTGTAGCAAAAGACTGCTTGTCCAGCAACAGAACTGCAGTGCTAATTGCATACCCACCAGCGGGGGGCAGCTTGGGAGGAAAGGAAAGGACAGAAAAAGGCAATGATTGTGTCCGTTCGTTGTTGTTCATACACGTGTGACTAGTTCTGGACATGGCTAGCGATGTCTCTCCCTGTTGCAATAGTTCTGTAGGTGTGCAGTGACTCTTGTACCATCAGTAACATGGCCTTTCATCACTTTGCCCTGGCATGGAGGCAGCACAAGGTCCACATCTCCACTGCAAAGAGGAGTACAACACCTGAACATACAAGGGTTGCCTAGCAAGTAGCAACAGCAGCTGAGGCTGAGAAACAAACTACATCTTTGGCACATCCTATGTTGGTGCCAAATGAACATACATGAATGTCATTTGCTGTTGGATGACAAGAATTAATCCCTGCAGTTCCTCAGCCTGATGTCCACTGGCAGGCAGCATGGGCAGGGGATGTTCATGTGACCATTGCAGTCTATGAGAATTTGTGCAGGACATAACCCCCTAGTGGTGCCAAATAACTCAACTGGACATGACCCATGGAGTTCATGTCCCTTGCACTTGGCAATCTACATGCTCATTAGCAGCTTTCTTCACTCCTGTACTCCAGATTGGCCGCATGCCTTTGTTTTCATTGGAAGTTGCTTCTGCTGCCAGGCTCCTGTACCAGCATTGCGATGCATCGAAGAAGGAGCTTTTCCATGTGTTCAACAGTTTCTTTTACAAGCAACTAGCAGAGGCGGCAGGCAGCACCTTAGAGGCGAATGCACAGTGCCCTGGATATGATCGTGTCAAGCATTGGACCAAGGTCAGCTGCTGAAATGGACCAGGCAGGCTTTGTAGTTGCTGTTTTGCTACGGTGATGTGAATCAGAAATGGAGGACTGGCGCTATTTATCATCCACAAAATATGGCGAGCATTAAGCCAAATATGTTTCAGTGTCCAAGTATTGCTGCACTGCAAGTTGCCAGCTGTGCAGGGCCAGAGTACAAGGCCGCAGCCTGGAGGGCACCGCACCGTGGGTGAAGAGCGATGAAATTTGTGAATTTGGGCCAAAGAAATGGGAGCCAGGTTTTTAGGCAGCAGTGTCTTGTCAAATTTTGGCGAGAAGGGATGCCTTTTGCCCGTTTTTCTCTTGCTTCCAATCTCGTTGATCTCAGCAACATTGCTGTCTGCTGTGACATCCAATTCGTCCCTGCTCTTAGTGCTGAACATGTTTGTCTCAGGGAGCTCTGTGTGTTCGTCGCTCCTAAGAAAACACAAGTTAGTTCAGTCGATTTATTGAACTTAACTGAAACGTAACTCAATGAATTTAGTTTTCAGTACAGCCAGTTTTCCATTTGAACACAGAACTTGCAGGTTTCGTTACTTTAGTTCGAAGTCATGGCAGTTTTGTTGGCGTAAGATGCGACAATACCACTGTCTCTTCAGGTAGGACAGTGTGTCACCTGAAAGTCGATCCCGATTCAGGTGTTTGGATAGGAAAGAAAAAAGCCATTGATGCACCTGGTGTTGTAGCTGCAATGCCACAGTAAAGCTGACAATTTAGTGTCAGTTTTTCTTTCTGTTGAGACATGCTTGAATACACATATCTGAATGTGTGGAGGTGTGCTAACTGCTGATGAATTAACTTATCAAAGGTGTGATATATAATACCTAAAACAATTAAACAAAGGCCGCTGCAAGCCATCTGTTGTTTCTGATCCTTCTGGCCTTGTGGCATTTTCTGGTCCTAGTTTATGTTGAGTTTGATGTACAGACCCTCCGATGTAATGCCCTGCCAAACCCTCCGCTGGAAGCCCATGTTCAAACCTATGCCCAAGCAGGCTGCTGGGTGACTGCGGACCCAGTTGTGACGACAATGCAATCAGGCCCTGCACCTGCACTCAAAAATTTGATCCAGCCTCCATTCCAAGACTTCGCACATGCTGAAACAGAGCCCCTTTTGCATTTAAACGTGGCTGCTTCTGCAAATGAGATGTTGACTCAGCGGCCCAGCTGACGGGCTTGCAATTTTAGCCAGATGCGATCAATGATCTCTGGCACCGCTGCATCCCTTCAGGTGGACTTGTTCGCAAAAGAGTATCTGTTTGTGCCCATCCACGAGGCGCTCCACTGGACGCTGGCGATTGTGTGCCACCCTCTAAGGGCCTTTTCCTTTCCCAACAACGAGCAGGATGGGGAAAAGACACCCTGCATACTTCATTTGGACTCAATGTCAGGTGAGACCTGATGGGGTTGGAGATGTGGACAATGTTGCACCTTTGAGTGCCGTCGTTTATTGATGATTGTCGTGGAGAAATCAGAGCCATGCACACATGAAGGTGATGAAGGTTTAGGGAAGCTGGTTGCAATGCATTCCTTGTGGCAACAAGTTTTTGTTCTGGCTGAAAGCACCATTGCACTAGCAAAAAAACGACCAATTAACACTTTTGGCGAACACATATACATGCATTTCATCAGTGGTCTGAATGCTGAAAACACGGACATAGCCCAAAGCCGTAAACTTTGTATGTGTTTGAACATGTGTTATTCGGGCCTTTTTGTCCTAGTGTTGGGAAACTGAAAGGTGGTGTGGAGTATCGACTGTACTTTTGTCTGCATGAACGAAAGTGCCAGACTGGATGCTGTCAGTTTCAGTATGCCATAATCCACTGTCAACTGAGCGTATCTGGGTATTCAGAATTGGCCAGAGCTCCTTTGGTGCTGTGCCTCAAATCTCTGTAGTCTTTGAGCTGCCGACCGTACAATTTGCAAGATCAAACTCTGGGAGGCCCTTGGGTATGAATTTCCACTATACGGCGGTTTGCGATTATAGTCCTTATATTTTTCTTATGGTTCTTTGCATCGCAACAGGTATGAATCAAGTGATTTTGTCAAGAAGTGACAAGTGCTCTCTTGTGACTGGCGGCGCAGTTTCTGATTTTTTCTTTGGGAAAGTGGGAGTAGTGTGAAAGAGTCAGTAACAGAAAGGCAATTGATTCAGCTTGAAATTCTTGAACAGGCATTGTAGATTGCTCTTTGCTGCTCCTTGTGGGGAAAAATACACAGGCATACCATTCCCTATTAGCATATTTGCTACTTTCCTTGTTCCTGGTATTTCTTCTTGTTGCTTACGCAAAGTCGCTGTTTCATTATTGTACAATACTAAAGTGTATGCATTTGCAATGTGTTCAAGAGGATCTGAGCACCTGCAAGGCGATGTTTGAAATTGCTGTTTCTTTCCTTCTGGCAGATGGACACTGCAGCAAGGCCGTCAGTGCGCGCATAAGGAGTTACTTACAGTGTGACTGGCTGCGCAAGGTGAGGCCTGACTTGCCTGTCATGTCAGGGACAAGCCAGCTTGGGCAGCGTTGAGTCGACTGTATGTAGAGACAGTTGGTGGTATACTCCCCTGCGCATGGGCCTAAATGTCAGTTGACTGCCTAGTTGTCCAGCTTTGATATGCAGTGACTGAATAATCGGATTTTTGAATCTGGGCATTGGCAGATCAGGCCACGTTTTGATTGTTGTCACATAGAGCATCTTATTGTCCCAGCGGTGCTATTTGGCTATTTGAATAGCACCGCATGTCCAAAAACCATAATTGATGGTTGGAGAGCAATAGCCCCCCAATAGCACTACCGATGCTATTCGGCGCCCAGCGGTGCTATTCTGGGCCCGAATAGCACTGCTCAAGGCCAAATAGCACCCCGGAATAGCACCCGGTGCTATTCACGCAGAACATTATAGTGTTGCCGTGATGCTATTCGGGATAGGAATAGCACCCACCATTGCGAATGCCGCCTTAGTAAGGTGGCACAGCAGCCAATGAGAACCGTTCCTGGATAGCTCCGCCGGTGCAATAGCACTGGCCGTTAAAGATGTTCTTAGTGTGATGTGGACCATTGTTGAAGTGGCAGATGTGCATGGCTATGCCTGTGTTGAAGGCATGTGAGGCCAACAGGTGTTGGGTGCTAATAGGTAGCGAATGGATGAATGGCAAGAAACGAGCTGGTGGTCAAATGCTTTGGGTAGATGCATTGCCAGACTGTTGAATGTCCTGGTCTGTATGATTGGAATGCCATGAGCATCAGGATCAGTCCAAAACGACAGTTTTGTGCCAAGCAAATGCGTTTCTGTGGCATTCAAACTCGTCTCCTAATTACGCAAATGTTAACAAGCCGATGTGGATCAAATTAATTCTTGTATCTACACTTTGTGATCTGCATTTGCTTAATACAGGATAGAACCAATAAATGAATATCAAATGCACTAAAAAGTAAGGGAAATGAGCAAACGAATAAACAAGCATGAATGATAGTATACAGTATGGTTTTGTACCGGACATGTTGAGAAAGGATATCACAAAGTGGTTGTTCTGCCCTCTGACAGCATCCAGACGCCGGAGAACCACTGCAGGAGTTCAGGATAAAGCGTGTTGATGTGCCTAGGCAGAACAACCACTGCGACTGCGGCCTATTCCTCCTAATGTACATGGAGTACTTCATGCATGCTCCCCCTCAGGCCATCAATGTTGAACGCCTTGACAAGCTGCCACGTGAGTGCTTAGGTGCCCCATCCCCATAGTCTTGACCTTGTTCCGCAACGATGTGTCAGTGCCAGCAAATTAAAAATGGGTGTCCAGGAATATGACTCTGGTGAATGAGCATCCAGTGCTGGGCCTTGTCAGAGAAAGGTTGTGAAGTGCCAGGAGCAGAACAGTACGACGTGAATCTGTTGTTTGGGTCAGCAGAGTGGTGAGCATGAAATTCCATCGACTGCCACAGTTGAAACGCAGCAGACACATGAAGCCGTTGCATATCTTAGGAGGCGACTGGGCTGAAGAGCACCAATCCTTGTTCGAAGGGTAGTTCATGAGTGACTGTTTTGGGCCCTCACAGGATATGTGGCAGCCGGGCTGTGTGCACTAGCAGGTTCCTTGCACTACTTGTTCTTCTTTTGTTGCTGTCTTTAGTGCTCATTGCAGGAATTCGCAGGGCATCTGGCATTTTCGAAGACAGGCATGTTAGGGACCATGCCTTCACTGGAGGGTGGTAGTTGCATCCATCCAATTGTAGCTTTTGACCAAAAGGAACAAAGGAATGGGGGCACAGTGCAAATGACAGTCTAGCGGGCTTTCATGTCTGTTTGTAGCGTGGGTTGTGACTTTAGGGTGTTGGCGGTGCAGGGGAGCACTCCTTCAAGTACTTCCTGTCCAAGACGTGGTTCAAGTGCTCCAACATGATTCCCTTCAGGCTGCACATCAAAAAGTCGATCCTCTTCCATATGATTGAGAGGTACAACAAGGACAACGACATCAGCAGTAAAGAGGAGGAAACGGGCGCACAAGAGCGGGAGAAGAGAATGCAACAGCAGCAGACGCTGACTCTGCTGAATGAAATTCTTGAGGCTAGTGAGCACAGGACACACGGGTGCGCAAGTGTTTGGAGTTGCCACCCGAATCTGTAGCTTGAAACCACTCGAGATGTATTTGTCTAAATGTAGGCAATCAGTGCCTATCATGTCCCAGGCAATACCGCGCATCGTTCACATCAGTTTTATTTGGAGCTTGTGGATATGCACAACTATTTCTCTGGATGGTTTTTGTTCACCTACACCACCAAAGGCAACTGCGCAATTTGTAGGGTGTTGTTACTGTTTCGTGTGAACCCATGTCCTGGTCTGCTAAGATCTTTTGTTATGTTGGCTTTCAAAGATGGGTGCTTGCATCTTGCATGCGGGGGCAGACAAGCATACAGTTGAAGTATTTTTCTGCCCTTCTCTGCACCACAGATTGTGTTTTGAAGCAGCGCAAGCCATGAACATTGCCAGAAGATTTGTTGCCCAGGTATCTGGCTTTGGGCAGGTCACATTTGTGCTACTCATGGGCGCCTTCTTTGTAGCTTGGCTGTCTGCAATGTGTTCCCAGTATAGACAGGTGGCTTGACAAAACTTGAATTTTTGACTTCCATATGTGCATTCGCTGGGCAGTGTTTACAAGAATGTGGAACAAGTCCAGGAGATAAATGAGGCACTGTTCAGGGTGAGCAGCAGTTGTTGCATCGCTGTACATATGCAGCATGGCTTCCAAAATGCTGCTTTGTGGATGTTGAATTCTTGCAGCATGGCTTCCGTAACTTTCTGGCTACCTTCTGTCCACCTTTCAGTTGCTATATTCCATTTCGATCTCCATTGTCCAGCTGACAGTGAAGCTCGTTTGTTATTGCATTGCATGTCATGGCAAGCCACTAGTCTGTGCTAGTATATGTGTGTTTAGAGCAATATGTACTGCTGAAAGTTTCATCACTTTCCTTGAACAAGGCGCCAACATCAATAAAACACATTGTTCCCACATAGGTCTTTTCAAGCATGGCTTCAACAGGGGTGCCATGTACTCTGCTGCTGTTTGTTTGATATTGTGCATCCAGTCAGTGCGTGGTTGTAGTTTTATGGGAAATAAACGAACACCTACCAGATACTGCTGCACCTGCCATCGTCTTCAAGGTGCAACGGCTTCTTTCTTTACTGAAAGGACTCAAGGACTCAAACCCTAATCTCACACCTGCTTGGCATCCGCTGCGCTTGGACGGCCTCCAACATTAGGAATGACTCAAAGTCTTTGTATCTGACCATTAGCGTTTGTCATGCCATGCCACTGTACAGCCCTTGCACTATTTGTCCAAGGACAGGCGTGCGTCCACAGAGAAGAATGGCCCCAGATTGTATGTAGACAGCAATTTGAACATCTGTTTGTTGCATCTGCAAAGCCTTTTCTGCAGAGTGAATGTCAAGGTGTCTGGCATGTACAGTCAAGTCCCAGGCATGCACAGGATGTACAGCATGTATAAGTTCGTCCCAAGCATGGGCAGCATGAATAAGCCTGTCCCAAGCATGTACAAGATATAAAGCATGCCAGGAACCACCAACTCCCCTTTCCGCCCGGTCAACTTTTCACAAATGTGCATAGCTCCCACTCGCACTCCAAAAATGCAGACTGTTGTGCCTTCACAGCTGTAACTGACAGCATCTCTTTGTTGCATCTGCAAAGGCAAGCAACAGAAACGCTTCAAGAGAGCAGCAGGACAGATCCATGTGCTTGGATGCTAATGATTGCATGGACAATGATTCATCTTCTGAATCTGGCCGAGTTGTGGTGCACAATGGGTGAGTGTCCAAATGCACTGATGGACAAGGAGAGGGTAGCATGGCAAGCTATAGTTGCCATGCTGTACTGAACACATTCACTTTCACGTTGACCTCAATAGAGGAAGAGCATGGGAAGAGCGTGGGTCGGTGGGCCCAAACACATTGATGGTTGCTGAAATGTACTTTGCGCCACAGGAATAGTTCCATCAGGCGGAAATGATGACCATCTGATCAATGGGCTACAGTAGTTACCTATAGGCACTGTGGTGGCTGATGATGAATAATAACATTATTGTTTATCTCTGTATTTATATCAGTATTCATGGCTGATAGTAAAGCTCGTACTTGTTGTAGCTCAATGCTATTCACGAAGCGTAGCGAGTCAGCATAACTGCCGGGACATAGAGATATTCAAGCGAAACAACTGCGAAGGGATGTAGGGCTGCTCGCAGGCAAGCTGGATGTGACATTAACATGGTAATTGCAGCATGTGAATGTGAACGATATGGGCCATGCCCGACATCCGCCAGGGGCAGCAAGCCCATCAGAATTTCATAAATTCATTCAATCTGAGATCCGACAAAGTGTACTTACGATACCACTTTTGCACAGGTCCGTTGAATTGGACATCAGTGAAATGGAGGTCGAGGAACGCTGGATGCTGCGGTCAGACTTCAAGAGCAAGAGCCAAGGCTGCTCCAACCCTATTGCTGGTCCCACCCCCCGCGCTGCCTGCACTAGAGACGGATCTCCGACAGCTGAAGTAGCTCAAGCCTCCAAGGCCAATATTTCGGCCTGGGCAAGGGATGACGGTTGCCACTGTGGGGTGAGTAGCTGCTCTTAATTTCAGAATAGCTGCATATCCTACCATATTAGTACAATTTTGTCAGTGAAAAAATTTCCATCGGTATTGCGATGCCATATATATTGCTATGAGTTGCTACACGTTTGCTAACGATTGTTCAAAGGGACTTCAATGACACCGTCAGGACTCCAAGCATTGTTGGTAAGGGGATGGACGAACCATGCAGCAGCGATAAACAAATGGGGAACACATCTGGAAAACATGCTGCACTTGCCAAACTGGCCGTATATAGTTGGCATGGGGTTCTTGTCACGCACCTTTATTGTCTGGGAACAGCAGAGACGGAATGAGCATGTCATCGCCAAGGGTGTCCCCACTGCTTGTTCCAGTTTGGCACATAATCAATGCTACATCGCCTGCACAGGTGCCTTGACATATGAAAAGAAAAACTGCCTGCATGCGCATTGCCAAGCATCTGTGTTACACAGCATACTCCCCCGATCAGCAGAGTTTGCGACTCAATTTCAAACTTGGGTGGAGGGCGCAGTTGTCGCCGAATATGGGCAGAATGGCTGACCACTGTGGTGGAAGCTCGTTTGGGGGCAGAGACATTTGTCATCCTGTCGGCAAAGGTCACTGCCCAAGCATGTACCTGGAAACCAAGATGCGGAAGTCAAGCTGTGATGTGTTCCCCGCCACCTATCACCATGTGTTCCAGCGCATGTGCCCGTGTTGTTGGCGCAGATTGCCTCCAGGTGGTACCAGGTCACCCATGGCAAGAGGCGACTGCCCCTGGGATGCCATTGGCGTTCCTTTGCACAACATCCATGCCCCTGCACCAGCCACAGCAGAACAGCCATTGCAGAATTGTTTATTGCCATGTGAGAGCATTGCAAGCGCTGCCCCGCTGCTCCCACTGTTTATCACACCTGCGCAAATGAAACAAACTGCGTATCCACGCTTGTGTCATTGTGTGCATACCAACGATGTTCACATTTATGCATGTATATGTAAGCTCTTTTGCCAAACGCCCAGAATGCAATATCCATGAACGCAGATTGCAGCCTGAAGCCCTGTCAAGTCAGGCTGCAGTGGGGCAAAAGATCGATCAAGTCGGAATGCGACGCCCTGCAGAAACGGCTCTGAAGAAGCGATGCTGATTAAAATACGGTGCAAAATTGGACCTCCCCTGGAAAGAGTGCTTGCTTGTGATAGTTCGCTTTGGTTCGTGCTCCTCGCGGTTCGACCATGATGGCCACCAGGAGCCACCAGGGAAAGTGGCGCAACTCAACAATACAAAGTCTCGTGTCACATTTGTTCAAAAACATGACCATCTGATGAGTGTTGTCTTGCCGCCACAGTCCCCAGGGCGCAACCACGTTGAAGAGATGGTGGTCGAGTACTCGGACCCTGAATTGGATCTGGAGAGCAGTGTGTCGAGCGACAACCCTGCGGATCCTGAGTACAAACCCAGCGGGCGCTGATCTGCTCAGCACAACCCTGCAGGGTGGAAGGAGCTGGAACTCGTCGCTAAAGAGATGGGCTGGTGGCTGTTGCTGAGAAAACGCAACAGAGGCGTCAGGCAGGTGGGAACTGGTGCGATTGCACAATGGAAGTGTCAATGACAGTCGAAGGTGGGTGGAGGACATGGGAATTTTGGCAGGAGGTCCTGGCTGCAAATCCTGCCGCGATCGGCAGAGCGAGAGTTTCGATATTTGGGGCACAAGAGGTGCCCGGTGGTGCCCCGGCGACAAGATCGTCTGTGGGTGTAGCAGCGTTTTGGGATCCAGGGTGAATGCACGTTAGGGTTAGGTGGTCAATTTGTTGGGGCTTCAGTGCCCCTACGTCAGGATTTGTGTTTTCCGCCTTAGGGATAGGATACGAACATTCCCAATGCTGGGCGGCTCATCGGCGCCGACAGGAAATGGGTACAGGTAGCGATGCTCTCATGCGTGCAACACCTGCCTTGGGTGGCTGTATCGGTACAGCGTGAGCATCCCCCGTGTTTTTTTTTTCTTTTTTCCTATGCTGTTTTATTTCCTCCCCTTTCGTCCAAGTCGCTCAAAGCTGCTCCCCAGAGAGGTTGGGATGCGCAGGGACAAGGGAAGGATGGGATATGTGTCGAAGCATTTTTGGCCTGTTTGGCGAGCCCTTTCGGAAGCGGGCCTCAGGCCATTTGTACAATGTATATTTGTAGGTGCGCGAATTGGCGTGCCTGTTCTGTTACGCCCTGAGGGTGTCCATGCGGGTGTGAAGAAACCGCAGCAAGGGGGACTTGGCGCACATGGAAATTTGCTCAAGATGCACGAAATGTAACTGCAAACCGCGTGTTGCCACTACAACGAATGCAGCTGTGTGCAGCTGTCCATTTCGCCTTTTGACCGGTGGAGGCTGCAGTTAGATGCAGCCCCTTCATTGAGGTCGCTGGCGCAAGGCTGCGCCATGCCGCACACCTTGATCAAAAGGCCAGGCTCTGAAGCCCGCTGGGGTGATTGAATGGGAACTGTGGGCCCCAACATCTGGGCATGGTCATTGCCCATTTTAATGTATTGCTACAGAAATGTTGTCTCCTTGCATTCCACATTTTCGCCAACAGTGTGAGTGCTAATTATGGTATTTACACATCTGTAAGAGTTCACAAACAGCCGACCCCCGTTGTGCCCCACACGCAAATCAGCCCCTTCACGTCGCTGACCCGCTGAGAGTCCCAGCCCATCACCCATTTGGATCATTTACGGCATTACTGCGCGCCAAACCTCATGGAAAACATCATGCAAGCCCATCTGTCATGGGTTCTGCGTCATGAAAGATGGACATGGGCCAGGCGCCAGCAGCCTCCGTCTGCAGCCCCCCCCCCCGCGCATCCCCCTTCGCCGTCAACACTCCGCCACATCTCTCCCATTTTCCTTTTCCAAGATTTGAACTGCAAAACTCGATTTATTCACCTCGGAAAAAGTAACGAATGTGCTAGTAAGAACTACACGCGTCGAGGTCGCCTTGAGGTGACCCCTTGCTGGCAGATGTGCACTGATCCAGTACTTTAGCTGAGCGCGTGTGCCCAGTCCTTTAGCAGTTGCGCGTTTGCCCAGCAGTTTGCGCATGTGGTCAGTAGATTGTGCAGCCGCCGCCGTGGAACGAGTCAAGAGATGAAGCTGAGACAGAAGGGAAGCTGGAGGATGAGGCGGGGGAGGTGCGCCGCCTCGTGGCTTCGCTCCAGCTTCCTGCCGCCGGGGCTGAGCCTTTAGAGCTCGTCCTTGATCTCCACGCCGGTCGCCTCCACCCAAAGTCTGCTGACCCGCCGGAACGTTATGGAAGGTGACGTGACCAGCCGGTTGCCTGCCACACAGGTGCAAAACCTTCAGCAGCAAATTGTGCGATGAATGCATGTGTTGATTCACTTAATGTGTCGGTTGATGAATGCAATTAAAGTAGTCGAATGTGTGTTATTTAATTGAGAATTGGAGAACACTTATGCCTGCGAGTAAAATGTCAATGACTCGCGATTTGTTAAGAAACGCTCCAGATTTGCGACGTTGTCAATTCAAAGATTCGGGCAGCGATAGAGGTCACGCACGCAAGGCGCCGTGTCCAGGAATGGCACGTCAAAACCAGAGGCAAAATTTGGGAGTTGGGTTCAGAAAACTGTGGAATTCGATTCTCGACATGCATAATTTAGCATTTGCCGGCTTAGAATCAGGACATGGCCATGTCCATAAACGGTATGGCTGTCGTCACCATAGAGCCAGTGCATGCGTCGCATCATCTGCGCGCCCGTCATACATTGATCGACGTATGTAACCTAGATACGATATGTCAACGTCACCAGTAAGACATCGACTTTGTCGAACGATCGTCTGATGACAGTCGAACATAAATGCGGACTGGATTGCATGTTGTTTCCTGGGAACACTGCCCGACATCGCCAGCTTGGTGACGGGGCTTGCTTTGCCATGATTTTGGCAAATGTAATTGCAACGGATTTCCAAAAAAAAGGACATCGACCAATGTTTGACCAGTCATTATTCACACTTTATTTGCTTGCTTGAACCATGCTGGAATTTCCGAACGCCTGTAGTTTTACATGTGCGTGGATTAAAAATCAAGGACAATTGCTTGTCAGCGCAAAAGCAATTTGAAATGTGTTGTCAGAGAAAATGTCGAAATTCGTCAATTTATCAATATGGCTATAGCCGAGTCATTACCACCACCGTGTTTGTGTTTCCGTCTTCACCAGTATTACTTAATGCGTTGCGATTTACGTTTCTGTCAGGTGGCGCACCGGTGCTGTCTTTGACCCCGTCAACGCTAACTTTGACTGTTGAAGCTCCTTCGTAGCCATCGGGAAGCTCCAGATCCAGGTAGAACATCCTATCCGTCTCTGGTACAGGCTTCACTGACCGGATGTGCCCAGGGGACATCTGCCCACGCCGAATGCGCAACCCAGTTATCACCATATTAGTATTTTTTTGAATTCCAATGTATTACATCAAAAGATAAACAAAGGATCGCCCCCACAAAGCGTGAAGTATGCAAAGATCCTTTTCCACACCATATTAGTGTACATGATGCAAGATGCATCTGGTACTGTGATGAGTGGAATGGCGTTCACATCTGATATCATGGTCGATGCGCATGTGTTCACGAACAACCATGTCACAATTTATTGTCGTAACCCATAGTTTTGTGATGGGATATGGAAATCACGTTCCATTGTGCAACACCATAATGGAGCTTGTCAACATCGACGGCGCTACATTTGAGTCCAGATACCTGTACGTGAACATGTGCAATATACGCGCTCCCGCATTCACAAGCACATTTACGCTGCACCAGCACACCCATTTCCCACCATGCGACTAACTACATGTCAGCTAGCCGCCGCGCCAAGCGACCCAGCACCGCGAACTTCCATTCCTTGACCGCGAAAGAGGGACTGTGTCATCGAGCAAGCGGTCGGGGCCATCCACTAACACCAGCCCGCCACTAAGCAGAGGACATCGCTTTGCTCATGCCAGCCGCGATGTCACTTGAGACAAGCCGATGCCATCACAGCTGCTTTGGTGCCATCGCAGCCAATGCGACGACGCCACTTATGTCCTCACCGTTCATCTTTACATAACAAGGCAAGGATGTGGGACCTAATTTCCTATTTTGCCCGTGCGCAGCAGTGTTCATGAACAACTTGTTGAAATCTAATGTACGACACAACCACTTGGTGTCACAGTGGCATCGCGGCTGGCATTGCCAAAATGGCCGAAAGGGCCAAAATGTTGCTTTCTGCGAGTGACCTCTGGAGTGCTCCGGCGGCTTGGAGTGGGATCAAGACACACCTGGACGTTCTTCTCGTGGAACCCCGTGATGGCCTCCGAAAAGGCCGCGACCATGAGGACGCGAATCTGGTCGGTGATGAGCCCATCCTCCGGGTCGTACGTCATGTATGTGGCGTACAGGCGGGCCTCCGGCCTGCGTGGAGGGGCCATGGTGGATCCATGTGAATTGGTTGCATGCGAATGGGAATTTGGACGGAAGCTGCACAGAGAATTGACTTATGAATCGATACCTAAGGTTTTCCATCCTTTCCGTACGGGTAATTAATTAGCGTTGTAACGCTTGGCCATTTTTGCGAAGAAAAACATAAAACAAAAAAAGCTCTTCTATTTGGATTGTGCGGAGCAAAGCAAAATCATAAAAACAACTCTCTGAAAGACGAAATGCGGAGTAAAAAAGCATAGCGGTAAGAATTCCCGATGCGGAAGGGTTTAAGAGCCAACGGTATGTGAACACAGGGAGCAAACAGTCGCAGGGCTCAGTAAACCCTCGTTGCTTCGTCCAAGAACGGCAGTGACAACTGTTTGTTCAATGGTAACGCCTAAACTACTGCAGTGCTGCATTTTCTTGCTCGACAAAATCCAGAACCCGCAATTTGAAATTTCAGGAATGTGTGTCGAGGACAGCGCTTCAACAGAAGCGCCTTTTGAAGAAGCCGATCTCTGACAGAAACAAGCAGCGACCCGTGGACGCTACTGGAAAACACGCCATGTTTCTGCACAGTCAGTGCATTGACTTTTTCATCCACTGCACCATTGCTCAAATGCTAGACACATTCTTCATTCCACTCTCCTGCAAAGTATCACTCATTACTTTAAGCCCACCACCACATATGCACGATTCGAAATCGACCAAACAGCCCCAACACATTCATAAAATAGAAAACGTTTTTTTCCAAGTACGGTTAGAATTTTGCAACTTCCTTATTGTTTTTTCAGTGCTCAACAGCGATATTATATATGTAACCACGTTTGCATCGTGTTCCATGTTTGCATCGCTGCCTCTTCCATGCTTGCAATTGCGCCCTTCGTCACCGCGCTGCCACTCACTTTTCGTCGTAATCAGAGCACACCTGCTGCCCCGGAAAGGGCTTTCCCCGGATATCGAAAATTGTGCTGGGCCGAATCTCCAGGCAGAATTCGTTAGAGCCCTGCCA